TCTTCCTCCTCCTCCTCCTCCCCCTCCTCCTCCTCCGACGCCCCCGTAGGTCTTCGCAGGTCCCAGGGGTGGTCTATGGAGGTCCCTGCCCCTGAAGGGCATCCGCGGGGGCTTTGGAGACTTGCAAAAGGGCAGGAACGCACCAAATCCTTCGATCCATCATCATCCTCAGCATCATCATCAGTATCAGTATCAGTATCATCATCGTCACCATTGTCACCATCCTCCTCCTCCTCCTCCTCCTCCTCCTCATCATCATCATCATCAACATCACTATCATCGTCGTCATCATCAGCATCAGTATCAGCATCAGCATCAGCATCATCACCATCAACCTCATCATTGTCATCACCATCAGTAGCAGCATCATCATTATAGTCAGCATCATCGTCATCATCATTAGTATTTGCCTCAGAATCAGCATCAACACCATAATCATCAGCATCATCATGATCATCATCACCATCATCATCAACATCATCCTCCTCCTCATCATTATGCTAATCATCATCGTACCTTCAGCGTCATCGTCATCGTCATTGTCATCATCAGGATCGTCATCATCACCATAATCACCACCATCATCACCATCATCATCGTCCTCATCATCCTCAACATCTCCATCCTCATACTCATCCTCATTGTCATCATCAATACCCTCATCATCACCATTATCATCATCATCTCCATCATCATCTTCACCACCATCATAATCATCACTACCATCATCATCGTCATCACCGTCGTCATCATCATCATTATCATAACCATCATCATCATAATCACCACCATCATCATCATCATCATCATCATCATCATTTTCATCATCACCATTATCAGCACCAGCATCTACATAAACATCATCATCATTGGCACCATCATCACCATCATTATCACCATCACCACCATCACCATATCATGGTCACCATCATCCTCACAATCACCAAAATCATCATTGTCTCCATCATCATCACCATCACAACCAGCAGCATCATCATCACCATAACAATCACACCCACCATCATCATTACCGCTATCAAAATCATCATTCTCATCGTCTTCGTCAGCATCCACCATCATCACCATAACCGTCGTCAACATCATCATCATGACCATCACCATCACCACCATCACCATTGTCATCATCATCATCATTATTATAATAATTTGTGCCATTATCATCCCCACTACCACCACCACCATCATCATCACCATCATCACCATCATCATCATCCCCATCATCATTATCATCACCACCACCATCATCGCATCATGATCGCCACCACCACCATCATCATCGTCACCACCATCACCACCATCATCATCCTCACCACCATCACCAACATCGCCACTGTCTTAATCGTCGGCACCAGCATCACCATCATCATCATCATCACCATCATCACCATTATCATCATCATCGTCATCATCGTCATCATCATCATAATAATCATCACCATCATCATCAGCATCAGCATCATCATCATCATCATCATCATCATCATCATCATCATCATTACTCTCGTCATCATCATCATCATCATCACCATCACCATCACCATCACCATCACCATCACCATCACCATCACCATCACCATCACCATCACCATCACCATCACCATCACCATCACCATCACCACCATCACCATCACCATCACCATCACCATCACCATCACCATCACCATCACCATCACCATCACCATCACCATCACCATCACCATCACCATCACCATCACCATCACCATCACCATCACCATCACCATCACCATCACCATCACCATCACCACCATCATCGTCATCATCATCACCACCATCATCGTCCGTGGAGACATCATCATCCATCATCGTCATCTTCACCATCGTCACCTTTCAGAAGTCACCCATGAGACCTTTCTTCCGTCCTCTCGCTCGGCTCCGTGGAGTAGGCCCGCGCCGCCCGCGACGCGCACGGCACTGCTTGCTCGTGTACCGTACCGGCGCCATGTCGCGCCCTTCGGCCGCGGCCCTCCTTGCCGCGCTTCTCGTCTGGCAGTGCCAGGGCGTGCACCTGCAGCCGAGCCCCTGGGACCCAGTCCGAGGCGGGGACCCCCCCTGCAGCATCGAGGATCGAGGATCGAGGGTTTGGAGCGCGTGGGGCGTTCTCCAACTTCCGGTTTTCAGCGAGGATCCCTGAGCTTCGAGCATCGTGGCCTCTTCGAAGAGAGCGCGTTTCGCCCCAGGACGGCCGCGGCAACGTAGTGCTAAGTGTGAAACGATGCTTGACGTGGTCTTGCAAATGCAGGCGACAGAAGCGGACAAACCGATTCCCCCGATCTCCTCCCTCCTGGTTCTCACCTCTTGGTGTGGGCTTCTGGAGTCTCGTTTCAGACCCCAGGGCCTTCACAAATTCCCGTCCTGGATGCCAGATCGGTCCTCAGAGGTTTGGCAGTCCATATGAGCGTCGCAAAAAGGCGGAGTCGTCTGCGCCGACATCAGCGCGTAAGCTGCCCGCGTAAGGTCGCGCGTAAGCGCCCTCGCTTCAAATGTGGCGTGCCGCGCTGGCGGCCCGCGTAAGCCGCCGCGTAAGGTCGCTGTGTCACCTCGCGTAAGGCACGTTTTTGATCGTCGCTCATATGCAGCCGGGTCGTTCCAATTTGTCGGGCGCACTTGGACTGGACAGACTTCTTTACGGCGGCAGGCCCGGCACAGCTCCCGAAGACAGGACTGGACTGACCTGATCTGCGAACGGCTCGCCACTGGCAGTGTGTAAGGGACCCCGCGTGCACGAAAAGGTCCGGCGGCCCTGTTCATAACAGAAATGATGACGTCGGAAGTCTGGCCCCCCTGACCTCGGGGGGCTCACTGAGGCCCTGGCTTCCGGGAGGTTCGGGCCCCAGGGTGGTTTCTGTCAGATCCTCCCCTCAGCTTCGTGCCAACTGCCGAACAGGGACCGGTTGCACACGCCGTCGCTCGGAATGCAGCTCGTTCGCGTGGCAGGGCCGCTGCATTTCCGCGGTCACGATTGAGTCGTCGATCCTGTCATCGTTAGGGGAACAACAAGTGACATAAATATAAAAACTCGGAGGTCCGCGCGGATTTCTCGGATCCGCGCTGGACCCCCCTCCCTGGCGCGCGGAGCGCGCCAGGGGCGGCGCCGGAGGCGGCGGCCCTGTTCGGCAGTTGGCACGAAGCTGAGGGGAGGATCTGACGGAAACCACCCTGAGGTTTTATGCTGTTTTTCCCCACATCCTGAGTGGGGTTCTTGTTTTCCCAGAACACCCTCTCCTTCTCCTCCTCCTCCCGCGTCCTTCTCCTAAACCATACCATACCAAGCCATACCATACCAATACCTTACTATACCAATACCATACCAAGCCATACCCCACATCCTGAGTGGGGTTCTTGTTTTCCCAGAACACCCTCTCCTTCTCCTCCTCCTCCCGCGTCCTTCTCCTAAACCATACCATACCAAGCCATACCATACCAATACCTTACTATACCAATACCATACCAAGCCATACCAAGCCATACCATATCAATACCATACCATACCATACCAATACCATACCATACCATACCATACCAAACCAATAACATCCCAAGCCATACCAAGCCATACCATACCAATACCATACCATACCAATACCCCTCCCACCCCTCCCACCCCTCCAGGGAGGCCCCGCCTGAGCGAGGAGGGTATTCGCATCACCTGTTATTTCTCAGGTTTCGTGCCCCTCCCACCCCTCCAGGGAGGCCCCGCCTGAGCGAGGAGGGTATTCGCATCACCTGTTATTTCTCAGGTTTCGTGCCCCTCCCACCCCTCCAGGGAGGCCCCGCCTGAGCGAGGAGGGTATTCGCATCACCTGTTATTTATCAGGTTTCGTGCCCCTCCCACCCCTCCAGGGAGGCCCCGCCTGAGCGAGGAGGGTATTCGCATCACCTGTTATTTATCAGGTTTCGTGCCCCTCCCACCCCTCCAGGGAGGCCCCGCCTGAGCGAGGAGGGTATTCGGAGTTTCGTGCCCCTCCCACCCCTCCAGGGAGGCCCCGCCTGAGCGAGGAGGATACCATCACCTGTTATTTATCAGGTTTCGTGCCCCTCCCACCCCTCCAGGGAGGCCCCGCCTGAGCGAGGAGGGTATTCGCATCACCTGTTATTTCTCAGGTTTCGTGCCCCTCCCACCCCTCCAGGGAGGCCCCGCCTGAGCGAGGAGGGTATTCGAATCACCTGTTATTTATCAGGTTTCGTGCCCCTCCCACCCCTCCAGGGAGGCCCCGTTGAGCGAGGAGTGTATTCGCCTGTTATTTATCAGGTTTCGTGCCCCTCCCACCCTCCAGGGAGGTCCCGCCTGAGCGAGGAGGGTATTCGCATCACCTGTTATTTATCAGGTTTCGTGCCCTTCCCACCCCATCCAGGGAGGCCCCGCCTGAGCGAGGAGGGTATTCGCATCACCTGTTATTTCTCAGGTTTCGTGCCCCTCCCACCCCTCCAGGGAGGCCCCGCCTGAGCGAGGACGCTATTCGAACACAGTGTTATTTATCAGATTTCCTGCCCCTCCCACCCTCCAGGGAGGCCCCGTCTGAGCGAGGAGGGTATTCGCGAACAGTGCTATTTATCAGGTTCCGTGCCCGTCCCACCCCTCCAGGGAAGCCCCGCATGAGCGAGGAGGGTATTCGCAAACCATGTGATAGAAAAGGATGGAGAGGGCGAGGGCAGGTCGGCAATTTCTCTACAAAATGTTGCTTGATCCCGCTAGCCCAAAAACATCATTATGTGGGGAACTCCGTTAGCATAATTTTTGTACCCCTAGATGTGTCCGCTCCCACCGCCCCCCCTGAACAGAACCGGTTTCCGTCATAGCCGCGCCTCGTCGGGAGCCTTCGCGGGAGAGCTCGGAGTCCTCCGTGCCTCGGCCGCCCGAGGCCGGAGCCTGCGGCACGACCGGCAGCCAGAGGGAGCGCGGGGCTGACTCCTGAGCGACGTGGGGGAAGAGGAGGAGGAGGAGGAGGAGGAGGAGGAGGAGGAGGAGGAGGAGGAGGAGGAGAGGAGAGGAGGAGGAGGAGGAGGAGGAGGAGGAGGAGGAGGAGGAGGAGGAGGAGGAGGAGGAGGAGGAGGAGGAGGAGGAGGAGGAGGAGGAGGAGGAGGAGGAGGAGGAGGAGGAGGAGGGGAGGGAGGAGGAGGAGGAGGTGGAGGAGGAGGAGGGGAGGAGGAGGAGGAGGAGGAGGAGGAGGAGGGAGGAGGAGGAGGAGGAGGAGGAGGAGGGGGAGGAGAGGAGGAGGAGGAGGGGAGGAGGAGGAGGAGGAGGAGGAGGAGGAGGAGGAGGAGGAGGAGGAGGAGGAGGAGGAGGAGGAGGAGGAGGAGGAGGAGGAGGAGGAGGAGGAGGAGGAGGAGGAGGAGGAGGAGGAGGAGGGAGGAGGAGGGGGAGGAGGAGGAGGAGGAGGAGGAGGAGGAGGAGGAGGAGGCGGGGGAGGAGGAGGAGGAGGAGGAGGAGGAGCATTCTGGGCCCCGTTTTGGGCACCATGCCCTTCTCGGGTCGATCCAGCTCGAGGGCTGCCGCAGGAGGGCGGGGTCGGGAGCTCCCGTCGTGAGCTTGTCACGCATCGTGTCTTTGTCACCGTGTCCACGTCGGGTGATCGTCGGGTGTCATGGTCTCCCCCGCGTGCCAGGAGATTGGCCAGTCATGACGTGGCTGGTTTGGGCGAAGTCGGGATAAGAGCTTGTGTCCGCATGTCTCGCAAGCGTCCAGCTTTCATGTGGCGTGGCGCGCCGGCCTTCCGCACCTGCACCCGGCGCGCGGCCTCGGCATGTTTCTGCGAGTCGATCCACCCCTGGAAAGAGGGAGTGCGGGGAGGGCAGGGGGAGGGTGCGGGGCGCGTCGGGAGCAGCAGGCGCTGCCGCAGGCAGAAGGCCGGAGCCAGTGAGAGAGGGCAGGAGGGAGGCAGGGGTGGAGGGAGCAGAAGGAGCGCCAGCAATTAGCAGGATGAGGAGGAGGAGGAGGAGGAGGAGGAGGAGGAGGAGGAGGACGAGGAGGAGGAGGAGGAGGAGGAGGAAGCGGAGGAGGAGGAGGCGGATGAGGTGGAACAGGAGGAGGAGGAGGAGGAGGAGGAGGAGGAGGAGGAGGAGAGGAGGAGGAGGAGGAGGAGGAGGAGGAGGAGGTGGAGGAGGAGGAGAGGAGGAGGAGGAGGGGGGGAGGAGGGAGGAGGAGGAGGGGAGGTGGAGGAGGAGAAGGAGGGGAGGAGGAGGAGGAGGAGGAGGCGGAGGCGTAGGAGGAGGAGGAGGAGGAAAAGGAGGAGGAGACGGAGGAGGAGAAAGAGGAGGAGGAAGAGGAGGCGGAGGAGGAGGCGGAGGCGGAGGAGGAGGAGGAGGAAAAGGAGGAGGAGACGGAGGAGGAGGAAGAGGAGGAGGAAGAGGAGGAGGACGAGGATGATGATGATGATGAGGAGGAGGAGGAGGACCAGGGTCAACCAAATTGTTTCCAATGATTATGTAATGCGTACACCCTCCCTCCAAGCTCTCTCTTCATAGGCCCCATACAACGGTTCATTTCCTGTGGGGGAATTTCCTTGTTGGAAGGCAACCGTTTGAAGACTCTGAAGCATGTCAAAACATTGTTCTCAGGATTCCAACGCCACGGATCGACCTGACTGTTGCGTCTGGACGAGCCTGACTTGCCAGAACGCCATTTCTGGGACTTCAACAAAGTGAACCAACGTAACTGTTGCGCCAGCATCATCCTGAATCCTTTCGAAACATTTCTGGTACGTTGATGATGGGGAATCCGTGAAACTCTTGCATACTTTATCAAAGAATGTGCGCGCCACTAAGGCGAGAGCCACATTTATCAAAAAAAACCACATTTTGAAATGGAACCGGCCTCAATCCGTGAAGCTCTTGCAATTTTTAAAGCGAATGTACGCGGCGCCAAAGCGAGAGCCACGCTTGGAAAAGGAACCGCCCTCAATCCGTGAAACTCTTGCTAATTTTTAACGAGTGTGGGCCGCGTAAGGCGAGAGCCACATTTTGAAAGTCACCCGCCCTCACTCCGTGAAACTCTTGCTTCTTTTTGAAAACGAATGTGCGCCGCGCTAAGGCGAGAGCAACATTTTGAAAACCACCCGCCCTTCATTTGTCAAACTGTTGCCCATTCAGAATCGTAAATGGTGAGGAAGTCTCTGGCGAAACGCCGGGCCCGCCCCAAAAACTGGCCTCGGGGTGCGACGGGAAAAGTTAGGAGAAGGAGGAGGAGGGGGGGAGGAGGAGGAGGAGGAGGAGGAGGAGGAGGAGGAGGAGGGAGAGGAGGAGGAGGAGGAGGATCAAACACTGAAGTCGCCGATTGAAGTCCGCCCAACGTCAAAAGGAGGATGAGAAGGAGGAGGAGGAGGAGGAGGAGGGGGAGAAGGAGGAGGGGAGGTGCACGCGGCCCCCAAGGCGTGGAGACGCGTGGGCTGGACCAAAGCAGCTCCTCGGACCTCGCGGTGGCGGAGCAGGACGACACGATTCCTGATGCCGCGGCGGCCGAAACGCTCGAGGCAAAGATGCGCCGGCAGGACGCGGAGTGCAAGGAGAAGGCAGGCATGAACGTAGACAGGGGACACGCGCTCGGGCTTATCAACGCAAGCGCCATCGTCAGGTGGAACCAGCAGATGCGCAGTGTGAGGGATTCCGCTGCATGGGGCCTGAAGCCCCCAATCCGACAGATGGTCGATGATATAGTCAAGATTGCGTTCCTCGTCTTCGCCGACGATCGCATCCACAACGAGGAGATCTGGCTCCATTGGATGGAAGGGGCACGCAAAGCCGGATTGAAGTTTTCCATGCACATCCACGCTTCTGGACTGCCACCCAACGGCACTTCGGAGTGGCGCAGCGACAGATTCAAGCAGTTCTTGGTGCCAGAACAGGCTCCCACTGCCTGGTGCCGGACGTGGGATGCGCAGATGTTGCTGCTCACTAGCGCCCTCAGGGACAAGGAGGTCACGCACATGGTGACGCTCTCGAGTGATTCGGTTCCCGTCAAGCCGATGACTTGGATTTACGACAAGACCTCGGAGCAGCCCCTCTCCCGCTTCTGCGCGGACGATTTCTGGCGCGACCCGTGGCCCAAAGCGGAGCTCTGGTCGATGCTGCGCCGCGAGGACGCGTTGTTTTTTCACGAAAACAGGCACTTCGCCGAGAAGAACTTCCGTCACGACTGCGAGGACCAGCTGGCGTGGTACTTTCCCCTGCGGGCACGCTGGGACAACTTCGCGAAGGCTCCGCTCAAGAGGGAGTGCATCATGTTCGCCAACTGGAAGGATCCACTGTCGCTGGGGCATTTTCGGGGCCCGGGGAATCCAGGAGCAGTTTAAGCGGACTCTGGCGAGGCGTAGCGGCGATCGAGATAGGCAAGCTCGGCATCGTTCTGATTGTTTTGGGGGGCAGTTTGGTCATGTCCAGGGTCCAGGGTCTGCTCGAGTGCTCCTGTGTCCTGACTGTCCCTCAAACGCGCAGCGACCTGTGGGAAGGACGGCGAGCAGGCTTGCATGGAGCAGTGGGCTGCCAACGCCGACACGTGTAATTGCCCGAAGCTTCGCGCGAGCGAGCGCACGCCCGCGAGCTTCAAGCACCCAGTCGAGTACCATGACGTTCACGCACACGCTCTCGAAGAGCTTGTCCGTTCTCCGTTCTGGTTCGCTCGCAAGTTTACAGATGGCGCAGTGCCAGAGGAGCTCAAGACACTGCTCGACCCGGGTTACAAGCCGAATAAGACGAAGTGGTTCGGAATCTTTCGTTGAGAGCGGCACTGATCATTCGCCCCCGTTGGGGGCCGACGTTCCCTTCCACGTTCCTGTGCCGACTTCGCTCGGACTCGTCGTTCTGAGTGGTTCGACAGGTCAGGTCGGTTGCGGAGGCTGGCGCAGAAGACAGCCAGGTCAGTTGTTGATGCTTTGCCGATGTGTACGCAGTCAGCGCCGGCAGGGGTGTCGCTCTTGACAAGTGACCAGGTGCTTGGTGTTTGACCGAGCTTGAAGCGCACAGCTAGAATTCGGCATCGTCATCATGATCGATGATCGCTCATAGCGCCATGTGCTCACTTCGGGCCTCGGGCGCCTCCTGATCGCGGTGGTGCAGAGGAGTCAGTGTACACCAGCATTATTCTGCAAAGGTCTGGAGCCCGTGCAGCGCATCAAGCCTCAGGGAGAGAAGACGGACCAGTGCACCAGCTATCCCTTGGAAATTCGCCAGTCGAGCGCCTGCTTTCGCATGCACTGTTCTTCTACGCTTGTGGTGGGCTAGATGTCTTTCTTTGGGCCCCGCGCCGTGCGACATTGGAGTCACTATGAATCCCAGCTCACCTGCCCGATCCCTTGCCATTATGCGTGCCTCTTCTGACTGTTTTCATTTTTTCTGTCGTTCCTTGTTCCCGCTCGTCTTTGTCCTTGCCCTTCGAGAGTTTCCTGAGCAGCTCGTAGCTGCAATATTCTCTACGATATTCCACGGCGGGGGACGCGTGGGTTATGGAATTTGCCGAGTGGGACGCAAACCATCTCGCCACCGTGCTTGGGTTGTGGACCAGACACTTCTTGAAGGCCTGTTGGGGTCTCCTTGATCGCCGATCCTTGGCATCTTAGGGCCTCTGGTGGGCATCTAGGGGGCCTCTCGGGGGGCCCCCTGGGGGATGTCTTGGGCTCTGTTGAATGGCCCCGGAACCGCCTCGCGCACCCTTCGCGTGCCCGGCGAGCGTCAGGATGCGGTCCTGGGGGCCAGTGGCCCGTGGGCCCTCCGTGGCCGCTCTGCACACTCCTTTGGTCGGCGGCGCCTTTGATCCAAGTTGCGGTCGTGGGTGGCTACGGCAGTGCCACTGCGGAGCGAACTGCGGTCAGTACCTTTGGCTCGGCTTGTCGCGCCGCCGGGTATGGCCCACCATGCCTCGGCGCGACACGCTATCCGCTTCCCAGTCCCCAGGCGTCACCGTCCCCAGCCTTTCCGAGCAGCCTGCTTCGCGGAGCGGAGCGGCACGCTGTCCGCCTGCAGGGCACAGCGTGTCGCCGAGCCCGCCGCCGCGACACGCGAAGCAACAGTTGCCGACCGTGGGCGCAGAAGCGGCGAGGGAGGCCAGGCGTGGGGGAGCGGGGGGGCCGCGGACGGCCAGAACCTCCTCAGAGCGTGAAGTTCTTCGTGGTGTGCCAGAGGCAGTTTCGGGCCCCTTGTGGGTGGCTGCCAGTGCCGCTGTGCACACGCGGGGCAAGGCCGCGGAGGGTGCGGCCCGGTGGCCGCCCGACTCGTGCGCGGGCGGATAAGAGGCTTCTGAGTTTTTTTGTGGTCTTCTGGCCTAAATGGTCTTCAGCAGTCCGCGGGGGCTTCTGGAGACCTCCAACGACGTCTGAGGACCTCCAGGGGCGTCTGGATATTACCCTGCAGGCATGCGGCCGCAGGTTCGCGCCGCATTGGCCCCTTCGTGACCTCCTCGTTTGCAGCCTCGCGGCTCCCTCGTTTGCGGGGTGGGTCTCAGGATGTGACCTGGCCACCTGTGGCACCTGTCGTGGCCTCTTCGGGCGTGCGGTAAGATTCGGGATGCGATTCGCAGGTGCCTCCTCATCGGCGCTCCTTGCGTTTCCCGGTCTGCAATCAGGAGGCATCCGAAGCCACCATGACCATCGCTACTCGCCGTCGATGCCGCCGTTCTTGTCGCCGTCGTCGGCCATTTTGGATACAGGTGTGCGCCAGTTCTGAGGAGCAACGCGCGACGCACGTCTCAATGACGGCGCTGAGCTCCGACAGGCGAGTTCGTTGCTCTTCCTCCTACTCCCTCTTTGCTCTGATGCCCCTCCTCCTCCCGCTCCTCCTCCCCCGCTCCTCCCTGCCCTCCTCCCCCTCCTCCCCCTCCTCAGAGTTCCGACGTCGTGTTGATTTCACAACGTCAACTCCAGAGGTCTGGACCCCTTCCCCAGGCTTTGTTCCCCACATGCTTAGTGGGGTTCTGGTTTTCTTCCTTCCCGCGTCGCGCCCGCGTCTCCTCCTCACCCCTCCTCCTCCTCCTCCTCCTCCTCCTCCTCCTCCTCCTCCTCCTCCTCCTTCCCCTTCTCACACAGCACCGCGCAGCACAGCACAGCTCAGTACAGCACTGCACAGCACAGCACAGCACCTCAGCACAGCACAGCTTAGCACAGCAATGCACAGCACAGCACAGCACAGCACAGCACAGCACAGCACAGCACAGCACAGCACAGCACAGCACAGCACAGCACAGAGCACAGCACAGCACAGCACAGCACAGCAAAGCTGAGGTCAGCTCAGCACGGCTCAGCACAGCACAGCACTGCACAGCACAGCACAGTACACACACAAGCACGCAAACACACAAACACATGACTCAGAGGCCAGCAACATATGTACGCGTACGCGGTTAGCTTCCCCTGGAGGGCGTTTGAACGAGGACGTTCGTGCACTCAAGACCGCGGAGGGCGTACATGTACATATGTCGTTGCTCGCTCAATGACACGCACACCACGCAGCACATGCGCGCCAACAGGAGGTGCGCAGGGGGTGGTCCCTGAGGGCGGCCGCTATGCGTGACGGTCGTCCAGGGCATAGCAGGCGTGGCATATTCTCGAGACCATAGGGGGTGCGCACGGGGTGGTCCTTGAGCGCGGCCGCTATCCGTTACGGTCGTCCAGGGCACAGCAGGCGTGGCGTTCTCTCGACACCACAGGGGGTGCGCACGGGGTGGTCCCTGAGCGCGGCCGCTATCCGTGACAGTCGTCCAGGGCACAGCAGGCGTTGCGTGTTCTCGACACCACAGGGGATGCGCACGGGGTGGTCCCTGAGCGCGGCCGCTATCCGTGACGGTCGTCCAGGGCACGGCTGGCGTGGCGTTTTCTCGGCACCACAGTGGGTGCGCACAGGGTGGTCCCTGAGCGCGGCCGCTATCCGTGGCGGTCGTCCAGGGCATGGCAGGCGTGGCGTTTCTGGACACCACAGGGGGTGCGCACGGGGTGGTCCCTGAGCGCGGCCGCTATCCGTGACGATCGTCCAGGGCACGGCTGGCGTGGCGTTTCTGGACACCACAGGGGGTGCGCACGGGGTGGTCTCTGAGCGCGGCCGCTGTCCGTGACGGTCGTCCAGGGCACGGCAGGCGTGGCGTTTTCTCGACACCACCAGGGGTGCGCACGGGGTGGTCCCTGAGCGCGGCCGCTAACCGTGGCGGTCGTCCAGGGTACAGCATGCATGGCGTTTTCTGGACATCACAGGGGGTGCGCACGGGGTGGTCCCTGAGCGCGGCCGCTATCCGTGGCGGTCGTCCAGGGCACGGTCGGCGTGGCGTTTTCTGGACACCACAGGGGGTGCGCACGGGGTGGTCCCTGAGCGCGGCCGCTATCCGTGACGGTCGTCCTTGCCCTGGCAGGCATGGCGTTTTCTCGACACCACCGGGGGTGCGCACGGGGTGGTCCCTGAACGCGGCCGCTATCTGACGGTCGTCCAGGGCATGGCAGGCGTGGCGCTCTCTGGACACCACAGGGGGTGCGCAGGGGGTGGTCCTAGAGGGCGGCCGCTATCCGTGACGGTCGCCCAGGGCACAGCAGGCGTGGCGTTTACTGGACACCACAGGGGTCGCGCATGTGGGTGGTCCCTGAGGGCGGCCTCTATCCGTGACGGTGGTGCTCAGGGCACATATGTACGCAAGCTTGCTATCCGTGCCGGTCGTGCTCAGGGCACAGGGGTACGCAAGCGAGGTGAGTGCTATCATCACCAGGATTTTTTTGCCACAGTGGCTCGCAGGCGGGGAAACGGACACCAACATCATTCTCACATGCTTGACTTCAGCTATCATCACTCCAGCCATAATAGAAGTACGTGGGGTTCCTCGGTAGCGTAATTTGTCATTCCAGGTGGTTTTTTGGTGGTCCCAAAGCCTGGCGAGGGCCCCCAGAGGCCGAAAACGGCCAAACATGTTCCGTCGCGATTTTTCCGCAAGTAGACGAGGTGGAGACCCTCCCTCCTCATGCTCCCTTCTCCCCCTCTCCCATTCCTTTTCTTTATACATAATATCTCTTTGTCGCACCCCTCGGCCAGTTTTTAGGGCGGGCCTGGCGTTTCGCCTGAGACCCCTTCACCATTTATGACCCTGACGCTTGAAACATTGCAAGAGCTTCACAGATGCAAGGCGGGTGGTTTTCAAAATGTCGCTCTCGCCCTAGCGCCGCGCACATTCGTTGTAAACAGTTGCAAGAGTGTCACGGATTGAGGGCGGGTGGTTTTCAAAGTGTTGCTCTCGCCTTATCGCAGCGCACATTCATGGTAAACATGTGCAACAGTTTCATGGATCGAGGGCGATTCCTTTTCAACATGTGATTCTCGATGTAGCCGTGCCCGCATTCGTTTTTAAAAAGCTGCAGGAGTTTCACGGATTGCTGGCGGCTCCTTTTCAACATGTGGTTCTCGCCTTAGCCGTGCGCGCATTCGTTTTGTTTTTAAATTGCAGGAGCTTCACGGATTGAGTGCGGTTCCCTTTCGATATATTGTTCTCGCTGTAGCGCCGCACACATTCCTTTGTAAAGTTTGCATGCGTTTTACGGATTCCTACGATCAGTGTACCAGAACTGGTGTTTGGAAAGGGTTCAAGATTATGAGGGTGCAGCAGTTGCGTCGATTCGCGGTGTTGAAGTCCGAGGAAAGGCGTTCAGGCGCGTTTCATGATCGTCACGACGCAACAGTCAGTTGATCCGTGGCTTTGTTATCCCGATAACAATGTTTTGACAGTTGTCAGGGTCCTCAAGGTCTTCCAACGAGGCAGTTCCCTCAGTGGAAATGAACGGTTTTAGGGGCCTATGAAGAGGGAGCTTGGAGGAAGGGTTTATTCCAACATCGTTGAACACTCTTGGGTTTACTGTGGTCTTCCTCCTCCTCCTCCTCCTTGTCCTCCTCCTCCTACGTCAGGCCCCAGAGGTCCCGATCGGATGTCCCCGGGTGCAGGCGTTTCCCGGTTTCTTTTTTTCATCCACATGAAGCCATGTTGCCCAACTGGGAGCCGATCCGCGCGTCGGGGTGCAATGTAGATGATCGTGATCGCAGCCGCGAGGGTCGCCTCGTCGCCATCGCCGTCGCCGCCGTCGCCGTCATCTTCGCATCCACGGCGATGCCGTCCGTGGCCATTTTAGAATAATCCTAATTTCCACACCCCGATACGCGAAGCGCGCACATATTCTCTGGCGCGGGCGGCCACAGGCGCCGGCGGCCAGGTCCTGGCGGTGTCGTCCTGGAGCAGGCATGGCGCCCGTGGAGATGGGCGAGTACTCTCTCGCCGTGGGGGCCACGTGCGCGTACCTGGTGGTGTGGTACGGCTTCCTGGCCAACCAGCTGTTCATGAAGCCGGTGGCCGCGAGGAGCGCAGAGAGGAGGAAGGTGGAGCTCTCGCGGTTCGACTACAGGTCGGCGGCGCCGCACGACGAGGGGGGGAATGGGGCGCCGACAGCCGTCCCTGGAGGTTTTCGTCGACGATGGCTTGTCGAATGCGATGCCGTCGACCAACGACGTCGTCGTCGCCGTTTTGTGAGGTTTGGCCGCTTCTGGAGGTTCTTGTTATCACGGCTGGAAGCAGCCTCGGGGAGCTGGTCAGGATGCTGACGGCGACGCCGTCGACAACGACGCCGTCGTCTGCTCGACGCCGCTGTGCAGGTCGCCGGCCGCTTCTGGAGGATCTCGTCGCCACGGCTGGACGCAGCCTCGGAGAGTCGGCCAGGATAGCCTTCGGGACTGGTCCGAGAGGCAAGCTTTAAGTCGGGCCTGTCCCTCTACAGGAGGAAGATTCAAGAATAGTCAATCTTCGATTTTTTCGAGTACCTCTGGGGTATTTTTTGGGGTACTTCTTATTTTTCGCCCCGAATCCCCCTGTAGGGGGACATGCCCGGGCTAAGGCAAGCTGGAGCGGACTCAGGCCGGGGATGGCCTCGGAGAAACCCCTCGTGCCTGTCGGGAGGGCAGCTTGGAAGCCCCCGCTCCCTCTCAGCGAGATGTCTTGCCGAGATGCCTTGCCTTCTTATCTCAGAAGTCGGCATCGTTGAACCGGTCCCCATCCCCTTCGAGACCCCGACCAAGTTACCACGCCAGTTGGGGATACACCTCGAAACTCGAAGGGAACGACCCATATCCCGATCTGGGGGGGTAAAAACAAATATATCCCCATCTGGGGGGGTAAATCGGCCAGAGGGGCCCAGGCCACGCCGCTGGGCACGGGGGTCGGATCAACGAGGCTCACAGAGGCCGCCCCACCCCGCCCCTTTATTGTGTGGAGCACCGCCCACAGGTGCCCCGAGTGGGAGATGGCAGACAGGACGGACGCGGAACAGGAAGCTACACGCACACACTTTTTCGTAAGGAAATCAGAGAGAGAGAGAGAGAGAGAGAGAGAGAGAGAGGGAGAGAGAGAAAGGGAGCGTGAGTGTGTGTGTGTGTGTGTGTGTGATTGTGTGTCTCCTCGTCACGTTCTTGTCGTCATCTTCCTCCTCCCCCCTCCTCCACCTCCCCCTCCTCTTCGTCGTCCTCCTCCTTCTTCTTTTCCTCCTCCTGCTCCTCCTCGCCCGCCCCCGCCATTTTCTGGTCAGGAGGCCGAAGACAGACAGAGTCCGTGTGTTTCCTGCCCTCCCGAAGGACGGTGGCCAATGCTATGGAGCAGATGGTCGCCTTCCTCCTGCTGCTGTGGCTGTACGCGGTGTTTGGCAACGCTCGGGTCGCCGGAGTCCTGGGGTTCGTCTACGTGGGCTTGCGGTTCGTCTATTGGAGCCACTTGCCGGAATCACCGCCGCCCCCTGCCTTTTTTTTGGAAGCGCCTATGTGGCCGAACCTTGCAGCCAGTGCCCGGCCAAGCTATCGAGCTATGTGCTCCCCCAGCCGTTGTGAAAACGGAGCAATAATAATCATACTGCTAATAATAATTAAATCACTAAGAATAAGTAATAATATCAATATCAGTAAAAATCATCATACGCATAATACTAGTAATAGTAATATTGATACCAATGATATCAGTAGTAATGCTAAAGCAATTAGTAACAACACTAGTATTAATCGTATAAATAATGATACTCGTATTTATTATCAACCCTCTTTGGTGGGGTATTCGTTTTGAATAGAGCACTGCGGTCGCGTCTCCTCCTCCTCCTCCTCCTCCTCCTCCTCCTCCCACCTCCCTCTTGTCTCCTCTTGCCTTGTTCGTACCTCTCGTGTGTGCACCTTGCCTGCGGCACCTCTTGTGTGTGCATCTTGCCTGGGGGGCTGCGATCTGCGGAACTGTCGCTACTTTCTAGGGCTGCTGGGGGGGGCAGCATAGTGGGTAGCCGCCGCAGATCCAAAGTCGACCTCGCCATCCCTGGGGGGACTGCGATTTGCGAAGCTGTCGCCTCTTTCGAGGGCTGCTTGGGGAGCAGCATAGTGGGTAGCCGCCGTCAATCCAAATTTGATCTCGCCATCCCTGGGGGGCTGCGATTTGCGAAGCTGTCGCCGCTTTCGAGGGCTGCTAGGGTGGCCAGCATAGTGGGCAGCCGCCGCACATCCAAATTAGACCTCGCCGTCCCTGCGGGGCTGCGATTTACGAGACTGTCGCCACTTTCGAGGGCTGCTTGTGGGGACCAGCATCGTGGGTAGCCGCCGCAGATCCAAAGTAGACCTCGCCATCCCTGGGGGGCTGCGATTTGCGAAGCTGTCGCCGCTTTCGAGGGCTGCTTGGGGGGCCGGCATGGTGGTAGCCGCGGCAGATCCAAATTTGACCTCGCCATCCCTGCGGGGCTGCGATTTGCGAAACTGTCTCCAATTTCGAGGGCTGCTTGGGGGGCCAGCATAGTGGGTAGCCTCGGCATATCCAAATCAGACCTCGCCATCCCTGGGGGGCTGCGATTTGTGAGACTGTCGCCACTTTCGAAGGCTGCTTGGGGGGCCAGCATAGTGGGTAGCCGCCGCATATCCAAAGTAAACCTCGCCATCCCTAGGGTGGCTGCGATTTGCGAAGCTGTCGCCACTTTCGAGGGCTGCTTGTGGGGACCAGCATAGTGGGTAGCCGCCGCAGATCCAAAGTAGACCTCGCCATCCCTGGGGGGGGCTGCGATTTGCGAAACTGTCTCCAATTTCGAGGGCTGCTTGGGGGGCCAGCTATAGTGGGTAGCCGCCGCAGATCCAGGTTAGTCCTCGTCATCCCTGGGTGGCAGCGATTTGCGAAGCTGTCGCCGTTTTCGAGGGCTGCTTGGCCAGCATAGCGATTTGCGAAACTGTCACCACTTTCGAAGGCTGCTGGTGGATCCAGCGGAGTGAGACACCGCGCAGATCTGAGCGAGACCTCGCCGTCCCTGTGGGGCTGTGATCTGCGAAGCCGTCGCCACTTTCAAGGGCTGCTGGCGGGTCCAGCGGAATGAGGTACCGCGCAGATCTGAGCGGGACCTCGCCGTCCTTGGGGGGCTGCGATCTGCGGAACCGTCGCTATGTTCTAAGGCTTGTGGCGGGTCCAGCGGAGTGATGCACCACGCAGGTCTGAGTGGGACCTCGCATTCCCTGGGGGGCTGCGAGCCTCACGATTGCCGCTCGCAGAAGTATATGCGCCCATGTCACGTCATCACCTCTGTATGACGTCTCCCAAGCTACTCGTGCCCCACATTGCGCAGGGGTTGGGTACGTCGCCAGGGTAATTCCCAACCCTCCCTTGTTTGGGTTCTCGTTTTGAATCGAGCACTGTGGTCTCCACCTCCTCCTTCTCCTTCTCCTCCCGCCTCCCCCATTTTCCCTCGTCTTCCTCTCTCCTCCCGCCTGTCTTTGCCTCCTGCCTCGTGCCCGCGGCCTGCGAAACTGTCGCCGCTTTCGTGGGCTTCTGGGAGTGCCAGCGGAGGTACGTCCCACGCAGATTACCACGGGACCTCGCCGTCCCTCACTGGGGGGCTGCGATCTGCGAAGCTGTGGCCACTTTCGAGGACTCCTGGGAGGCCGCGGAGGCGCGTCATACGTGGATCAACACGAGTCCTCCTCGCCCCCAGAGGGGGCTGCGATCTGGAACGTCCCACGCAGATCACCACGAGACCTCGCCGTCCCGTGGGGGGCTGCGATCTGCGAAGCTGTCGCCACTTTGGTGGGCTCCTGGGAGGCCCAGCGGAGGTATGTCCCACGCAGATCACCACGAGACCTCGCCGTCCCCTGGGGGGCTGCGATCTGCGAAGCTGTCGCCTCTGTCGCCTCTTTCGTGGGCTTCTGGAAGGTCCAGGGGACGGGTGTCCCACGGAGAGTACTATGAGACTCCCTGCGCTGTTTGATCGCACATCGCAGCGGGATGGGGCGCCACGGGGCGCATGGCGCTGTCATGTGCCCATGCCGCATCGACTCTTCAGTTGCCTCTTGTCCGTAGTGCACTCGGGCACTTGCAGCGCTTAGAGCAGGGCGCTGTTCTGTCATAGCGCACATGGCGCTGTTCTGCAATGAGAACCTAGTGCGATGCGCTGTTACTCCCACGAAGCATGTCTCCAGTTCCCCCTCACGAATTTCCACGCCCCCTGGTGGTCGCCTTCCAGCCAACGATCAGACTCGTAAGAGTGATGCCGCGAAGGTGAAACATTTGACTCTGGCCCAACGTTCTTTGGCGAAGCGTTCAAGAGCACGGTGGATCCTTTAATGCTTGCTTTTGTACAGAGGCGTCCGATGTATAGTCGCTTCATGTGGACAACAGGGTTGAGTACTTTCCCTGGTAGTGGTAGTACAGGTAGTAGTCGTACTGTTGAAAGACAAACGTTTGCACCTTTTCGGTTTGAGCTGCGAGTCGGATGGTACTGCTGCTCCCCCGCGCCTCCGACTTTACCATTGATGGTTGTGACTTCTCCCGGGGCCATCCGAAAACAGATATATGTATATATGCATTCATAGATGTATACTATACATTTCAGCGTGCACGTCCGCTCTCAATGTTAAATCGGGGGCGGGGGGTCGTATCATCGTTTATCGTGCCGCCCAGGTGGTGCAAACTTGGTTTCTTTCAGCTGTAGTAGTAATTCTGATAAAACTTATGTTTCGAAGAATATTAAGAATAGTAATAGGAAACAACAAGTAATGGCTTTTACCTTTGAGCCATCAGCGCGGCAGCTATCTCTCCGCCCTGCCGTGCTGGGGAGACGAGACGGAGGAATGCGCTGTGGAGGGGTCGCGCACGACAGGTGGAGAGACGGGGAAAGAGAAGCGGGAATGATGCACATGACCCGTAAACAATGCAGGCTGATCAGACCTAAAAGCTGCAAACAAACATCAGTCAAGGAACCTGCCACAATGTCTTACAAAAGGTCGCTCAATGGCCAGCTCATGCAAAACATGCGTGTCAACCGTGGACGTGTGTATGTCATTAGGCGTTCCTAGATACCGGGCGCGCCCCGCTTGGGCACATGGCCTCAGTGGTAGAAGGTGGCGTACCAGAGGCCTAATAAGTGGTTCTCAGGGGTTCTCCTCTCGACTTCGGCGTCGTCGCTTCGAGAGCAGACCACAACGTTCGTTTGTTCTCTCTGCGGCTGTGCTGATTGCGGTCCCTCTGCCTGTTGGAAAGGTTGCGGACGCTGGAAACAGTGCTTGTGAAGAAGAGGTAATTCCTCCTCTGCCAGAGCAGTGGCTCCCTTCAACAGGTTATTCGTCAAGTCCGTGACGTCTTGAACAGGGTAGTCACGCCTCAAGGTGTCCAACCGAAGCCCTGTTTCCGAAACGAACGTGAAAGGATCTTTCACTTTGCAGCCGACCTCGTGCACGTGATTGCACGAGATCACCGAACCAGGCGTCCCAGGACACCTGCACGTCGAAGCTGTCGCCGGAGAGCAGATTGAGGCCCTGCGCGATGAAGTGATTGTCGTTCGAGCCATCAGTCTTGGCCTCTGCGACTCTCGCTGGGGTAGGGCTCGCCAGTGTTGCGGTCGTGGATCGTCTTTGGCTCGCTTCCGTGTGTGCTCACGTCTGGCAGCCACCTGTGCAGGCACTCCTGCGTCCACGTCGGCCCAGAAACGGACAGATCCAGCCTGCCGTGACACAACGGCGCAGCTGTCCTTGTCTGATCCTGTCTGGCTTCTTGACTTGGGCGTCCGCCCGGAGATGCTCGGCGAGGCGTTCTGCTTTCCACAATTGCTGAGCCTGGAGGTCCTGAAGCATGGAGTGCCGATCCCGTTGCGCAGGGCGCTCCGTGTCGTATCGGCTTGCTGTCTGAGGAAAGTATTCAGCTTTGTCCAGCATGACCGCGCAAGCGGCAGTTCCAGCCATCTCAGAGACTTCGGAAGTCCGAAGCATCCCAACACGAATCGAACCATTGGCGAAGCTGTCCAGAGGCATGCCGAACGAATGACCCGCTGAGAATTCAGTTGGATGTGACTTAGCGGCACAGCTGTCCTCCGAAGTCTGCAGACGAACCGGACAAGAGGCAATCATTGCTCCATCTCTTCCTTCATGCGCCTGCTCCTTCGAGAGACCACCGCCGCCCGAATGGGCACGATCTGCGTCCAGCCAGCTGTGACTCACTCAGCAGCACAGCTGTCAACAGAGGGCCGTGGAGTGCGCTGTCCTACTCCTCCTCCTGCTCCTTCCTGCTCCTTTTCCTTCTCCTGCACATTAATTGGTGATGGTTGGGGTCGCAACGCCGAGGGGATACAAGTCACCATGCCTACCAAGACTGAAACTAGTGCCTCAGGGTGACGCGAGGGCGGCTCCACTGCGATACTGGTAATACTCCCACCCCGAGTCGGTCAACAAAATGATGGCCATGAGACTCG